TTTTTGAACAATATATTGATATCCATTTTAATGCCATAATACCTTTATATGTTAAATTTTTATATGAATCAATAAAATCTTCTTGTACAATATCTCGATATAATTCATTTTCATATTCAATAGCTTTCATAACATTATTATCAAGTGTTTTACCAATCATAAAAACAAGACGTAAATCAGGAAATAATGTTCTTGTTGCCCATGTTTCACGTATAACAACACGACGTTGATAATTTGTTGGACCCGAATGTACATAAACTAATAAATAAACAGGTGAAGAACTATTATCGCATACAGAATATTCAGGATTAAGTATATAAGAAAAATTATGTGGATTAACAATATGATCACGTGGATGATAAGGATTAATTATAGTTGTTGTTGTTTCTGTTGTTATTGTTTTCGTTGCTGAATTATCATTATTATTTAAACTGTTTAATATATCGATATGTAGACATATCAGAATAAAAATTATATGCTGAAATTGCATGTATTATTCTGATCTAGAAGATGGAAAGAATGGTATTAAATTTGCCGAAAGAAAAAATAGTGAAAAATAAATAGCTAATCGAGAAAATCTCAAAGAACAAAGTGGCGAATTGAGAAAATGTCGAAGCAGTCTATAGCAAAAAAGAAATCTGGCAATCACATAATTTTGTCGAAGAAAAAAAACTAGATTTCAACATTTTCGATCAACAAGATGAAAATATTTTATTGCATACAGAAAAATAATACATGTTTAAGTAGACCAACAAAAATAATAGTGGTTCAAAAATATTCAGGCATAAAATCAGAAAAAGGCTCTATGTTTCTTTATGTGGATGGACTGTGGACGTTGATACTAGTCCTGCTTCATCGCCAATCTCGAACTCCACATCTTACTGCTTAATAGAGACACTTAATAATATCTGAAACATTTTCGACATTTTTTAGGGTAATACATTTTTTCGTCATTTTTATACAATCTACATGTGTTTTTCGATATCTTTTTTATTACCTTTTCTCTTTCAATATTTTTTCGTTGATTCTTTTTTCTTTCAGCCATTTTGATACATACCTTTAGGTGAACCAATAAAAATAAAAGTGAATCAAAACTGTTTAGGCGTAAAATCAGCAACAAAGATATATGTTTTTTATGTGGGTGGACTGTGGGTGTAGATATCAGTCCTCACTTTATCTCTAATCTCGAACACTACATCTTACTGCTTAATAGAAGCACTTAAAGATGCCTGTAATATTTTCAACATTTTTTAGGGGAATATATTTTTTCGTCATTTTTATACAGTCTACATGTGTTTTTCGATATTTTTCCTATTACCTTTTTTCTTTCAATATTCTTTCGTTCGTTCTTTTTTCTTTCATCCGTTTTGATACACACCTTTAGGTAACCCAATAAAAATAAAAGTGAATCAAAACTATTTAAGCGTAAAATCAGCAACAAAGATATATGACTTTTGTGTGGGTGGACTATGGGTGTAGATATCAGTCCTCACTTTATCTCTAATCTCGAACACTACATCTTACTGCTTAATAGAAGCACTTAAAGATACCTGTAATATTTTCAACATTTTTTAGGGGAATACATTTTTTCGTCATTTTTTAGGGGAATACATTTTTTCGTCATTTTTATTCGATCGACATTTTTTTTCCATCTTAATTCTTTTCGGCATTTTTTCTTGTGCTATTTTTTTCCGCTATTCTTTTGTTCGCCATTTTTTCTTTGGGCCATTTTGACACATACCGACAGAAGCATATAGTTGTATTGTTTGACCCTTTGTTTTTTTTTCTTTTGATCTTTATTTCTCATTAGAACTAAATGGTACGGGAGACTAACTCGAATAGGTAATGCGGTGTGAAGCACTAATCTCGAAAACAGGATTTTTGAAAAAAACGGATAATGGTTCTTAAGACCTATCGTGAATCGTTTCTCTCCCAAAGATGTTGCCGTTTTACTAGACTCACATATTTTGTCGTGTTCTATATCGAAATGATAGCGCTTCGATGAATCAGCAGATCTGACTCAAGGTTAACGTATAAATAGGTAGAATAAAGTTGATCATTACGAGAACTCATTGGAAACATATACATATTTCGTAAATACCCGATCCATTGATCGTTTCATTTTCTGTACAATTCATATTTATTCTTTAGTGTCTTTTTTCGACTATAAAATGTATCAATATAAAAAAGTTGACAAAGTTCTTTATTGTGAACAACATCTTTTTTCTTGATTAATTATTGAGCCATTAAGGAGACCCCTCCCCTTTCCTTACCCAAATTTTTAGTCTTTTTGTTTTTCATTTTTAATATCTAGTATATAGATCTAAATGTCCTCTATCTAATGAGCACATTTCAAGAAGGTTAAATCATCTTTTTGCATATAAGAAACTCGAAAAACATCTCAATTTTATGCTTAAAAAACCAAAAAGTGCAACTTTCTTTGAGATTTTCTCAAAATCAGTTTTTTACACGAAAAATTGAAGTTTCCCCTCTTTTTTCCTAGACGGTTCGACCGATTGGGCTCAAACTTTTGTTTATAAGTACTTCTATCAAATTGGAGTGTCTTTTTTTTCCCTTGAAAATGTTGTACCTATCAAGTTTGGCAGGTTTTACAAAATTAGCACCCTTCGAAAAAAATCCTTTTTT